TCATGTCTCTTCTACATCAACATGTGTCCCCTCTGTGTAAAGAGACTCTGAAAGTTTCAGGAAAAAAGATTCTCTCTCTTTTTGTCCTGATCCATTTCTATAAAAACCTGTCTGAAAATGAGCTGATCAGATTTTTGCCACTTTATGATGTCATAACGATGTTTTGTCTTGTGTAACCATTAGCCAATCAGCAACCAAGGTAACCCCCTCCCCCCCCCCTTATCACCTGAATCTCCTCCTAGAGCACCGTTGAGTTCTGTTTAACCAAATCTCTCACAGAGGGGCGTAAAGTAACAGACAGAGAATCAGCACTTTTGAAACAGGGGATTATGGGTAATGCTGCAATGATCTGTTTGGTGTTTGGAGCCATGTTTTGTATTTATCTGAGACCTATAATATATTGATGAAAAACAGTATAATAGGTGACCTTTAACCTATTTTGTATTCTTATTTAGTTCTGAGGAGTTATGTGTAACTTATTTATTTGATGAATCCTAAGAAATATATGTTTGTGAACTTGTAAACTAATACATATCAAGTCAAGGCAGGTTTGTTTATATAGTCAGTTCAACCACAAGTCAATCACAACATTGTATTACGTCAACGTAAGAAAAGTATTAGGGAATAAAATGACATTTACAGTAAATACATTTTAAAACATGAATTAAAAAGTCAGCAAAACATAAATAAAAAGTAAGCTTAAATATAATAAGAGGGGTATGTAATACAAAAAAAGTTAGAGTAGCAACAGACCTGCAGTTAAAACCTGAATGATGTTTAGACCTCTGGAGAAAGAGCTTAAATCAGCACTATTTGTTCCCACTCTCATGCTTATTATGTCCCGTCCCCCCCACAGTGGTCTGAACCTGGCTCCAGTCTCCAGGCTGAGAGGAACGTGGGAGAAGCTGCCCAGTAAGTACGAGAAGCTGTTCAGCGACCTGCAGGACCTCTTCGACCCCTCCAGGAACATGGCCAAGTACAGGAACGTGCTGAACAATCAGAACCTGCAGCCGCCAATCATCCCCCTGTTCCCCGTCATCAAGAAGGACCTCACCTTCCTGCACGAAGGTAGGTCACATGATCTCATCCGTCCATATAAAAGCATCACACTTAAATATTTGTTATTGGTAAAGCTTGCAGTAAGCACCAGGGACTAGAAATCAATTTATAATGTTCTCATTACCATAAAATAAGTTATGAATGTCAGTCTTGATATATTTTGAAGTGTCAAAGTCATGGCTATACTTCCCTGAAGTTTTGAGGCAAGCTAGATAGCTTGTATTAAACAATTTCACATAGGGTTCCTGCTTAATGTTAGCTGCTTTAAAGACTTGCTTGCTTGCAGTTTCCTTTAAAATTGTAACTCTCCAAAATGTCCGAGATGTAAAGTAAAAGAAGGAACATTTATGCATCTGTTTTGGGACTGTGATCTCTTGAAACATTTCTGGGATTCGATTCATGTGCTCACAAAAGCCGTTTTAGGCATCGAAATGAGCCAAAATCCATGTTTTTTCCTGTTAAATGATATGCCAAACTTTAAACTGAACCCCAAACATTATAGAATACTAATCACAATAACATATTTTGCCAAGAAATGTATACTTTTACTCTGGAAGAATGAACGTCCTCCAACATTTAAACTTTTCATTGATCAGATAACACATTTTTTACCTCTGGAGAAAATGACTTTGGAAAAATATAATCATGGACATATCTTTCAAGCTCTGTGGTTGCCATTGTTTTCATATTTGGAAAATATATCTGAGATATGACCAGTGATGGAATGGTGCATTCTGTGGCTGTTTTTCCTGACGGCCGGAAATACTAGTTGTGTTGTCATTGTCTATATTGTCGCTGTATTGTATAATTAATTGTATAATTATTTGTTTGTTTTACTTTGATGTGGGCTTATTATTATTATTTTATTTTTATTTTTTTTCGTTTTTTCGTTTTATGTTCATTTTCATGGCTCTGTTGTTTAAGTTATATTGAGAAGCATTTTTTTTTTTTTTTATAAATGTTTTTGGTTTCGTCAGTGTGGGCATGTGCGGGTGGAGGGAGGGAGGGGGGAGTGTAGTGAGTGTACTGTGATATTACAATATATGAAATGGCATCGATTATTGTACACTATAATGAAATAAAAAGACTTGTAAAAAAAAAAAAAAAAAAAAAAATTCTACGATTGTACGGTGTTTAGTTTGATCAACTGTGTAAAATGTCAGTAATTGACTTTCTTTCTCCCCTCGTTTCTCAGGCAACGACTCCAAAGTGGACGGCCTGGTGAACTTTGAGAAGCTGAGGATGATCGCCAAAGAAATTCGCCATGTGGGTCGCATGGCCTCCGTCAACATGGACCCAGCCCTCATGTTCCGCACAAGGTACAATAAATCCTTACGATCGAAGCCAGATGTCATATTAAAAAGGATCCATCCCCCTCTCTGTAGGTCCTGTCAGCACTCCACTGACTAACCAAACTGTGAGGGGTTAGCCGGTTCACGTAGTCAGTCAAACTTTCTGCATCACGCTTCTCTCTCAAGCAGCTGTTCCCTCTAGCAACTGTTCCCCTATACACATTGTTGATGTATAACGTGCACAGTGCTTCAGTGACAGTGTGTCTTTGTCTAATGATGTGACTTCTTAGTGGTGTAACCATTTGATTTCCTCTCTACTGACTTTCACGTGGGTCAAATTTCTCTTTTTGGTGATCTTGGTGGTCTTTCCTGTCCTAAGCTTTGTCTCTTTCTCTCTCGATTCATCCACCCTTTGCCCCTCCATGCTTCTCTGTTCATGGCACCCACCCTCTAGGAAGAAGAAATGGAGGAGTTTAGGGTAAGTTTGGTGACCCTATGACCTTTTGCCCTCCCTGCACCACGGTTTCTTTTTTCTGCCAATTTGCTTGCTTCTTTTCTTCTTTTCTCAAACCTTATTAACCGGTTAGAGTTGAATCCTTTCACTAACACTGCCTGGCCCTAACCAAAGGGCATTGAAGGAAACAAAGGTCACATTATGCTAGCATTTGGTCACGCTGGACTATTTTACATTAACCCTCCTGTTGTCTTCGGGTCAAATCGATTTACTACTTTCATCCATCATAACTTTTTAGTTCTACATTTGATTGCATTAAGGCTTTATGATATCCTTCACAGTAGACATTTGAACATATACAATTGCTTATCACCACTTCCATTGAATTTTGGATGATTTAGTCAACACCCATGATGTTCCCGGTCAAAAATCCCCCCATGTGAATCACACCTGGCACACACACACGCACACGCACACGCACACGCACACGCACACACACACACACACACACACTCACACTGGCACACACACACACACACACACACACACACACACACACACACACACACACACACACACACACACACACACACACACACACACACACACACACACACAGAACAATTTGATACATTTCCCGCTCTTATGTGCCCATCCCCCCACATGGATCACACCTGGCACACGCAATACATGTTCAGTGTCTGTTCTTTGTATATTTACTACAGTTGTTCATGTATACCAGTAGTCTGATACAATATGTACAGTTTGAAAGGGTGTTAAATGAAATTTGGTGATGATTAATGGTTTTTGTGTTTATGTAATAGCAGTTAAAACAGGACCGGTAGAATTTGACCACGAACACCAAAGTAAGGGGGGGGGGGGGAACGAAGACAATAGGAGTTAACCATACTGTAAATTAATTACACAAATGATTGGGAAAACACACAAAAACGTATATATTTTCTGTTGGATTCCAGTCGTATGTTAGCAAATGTGACCTTTCTTGACATGTTTATCTAACAAAATGCATGCAGCTTCATTTTCAAAGTTGTACTTGTTTTTGAGGTTTCATCTGTATATTAAAGCTCCAAACTGCCAGATATTCTGGATATAAAACATTTTTATCATCATGCTTTACATTCCTGTGGTCGAATGGGACATCGCCGTGAATTTACGGAGACATATAACGGGAAACAGATGGGAAGCACATTGCGCTCACTAAAGGAACACGTTTTCTGGTAATTATGAATTCTGTGTCTCGTAATTATGACTCAGGGTCTTGTAATTAGGAGAAAGCCATCTTGGAATTACAAGATCTGTATCTCGTAATTTGTGAGAGTTGTTCTTGTAATTATGAGATCTTAATCTCGGGGAATGTGAGTTTCTATAGTAGGGTTATAATTACAAGATCAGAAAGCAGTACTTGTGTGCATTTTTGGAACTGAGCATCTATATATATATATCTAATAGAAATGATATGTTTTGATAGTCAGTGTCTTTCAGAAGCATTTTTAAGAATATCCATATGAGAAACAATAAAGAAAATATTTGTCCACTGATGAGAACAAATCTAACTATTGTGTTGTTTACTTTCTTAATGAGACCATGTGCAAGTAAAGCTTTTACTACCACTACTACTACTACTACGAGCTGACTCAGGCCACAGAAATGTAAACTATGAGCGTGCTACACTAGCAGAACTCCCCCTCTCTACTCCCCCGTTGTTTGACTACAGCCTCCCTCCCTCACCCCCCCGCCCCCCTCTGCTGTCTGGAATGACTGGAATGTTTTGCAGTGGAGAGAAATAACTAAAACTGCTCTGTGCATGTCCAAGTTTAAACACCAGGCCTGTAATAATACCTGTACATTATGCTTCACTCCATGCTCATTCACAGACTATTCTAATAAGTCTTCCTTTATTCTTTTCTATGTGTTTATGTGCATGTTTCCGTGTGGGCGCACATGTATAGGTCTCTAAGCCAGGGTAGTGCCAATGCGGCGGTGCTGGACGTCACGCAGACCGGCGGGCACAAGAAGAGGGTGAGACGCAGCTCCTTCCTGAACGCCAAAAAGCTTTACGAGGACGCGCAGATGGCCAGGAAGGTCAAACAGTATCTGTCCAACCTCAGCCTGGAGACCAACGAGGAGAGTCTGCAGACGCTCTCCATGCAGTGCGAGCCCTCCATCAGCACACGTGAGTTTGTGACACGAACTAACAGACACATGTAAGAAAGCTTGAATATGACTGGTCGTCCTCCAATCGGAAGGTCGCTGGTTTCAATCCCCAGCCTGTGCAGTCAACATCTCCATCAGATGCTTAACCCTGAACTGCTCCCAATAGTGTGTGAGTGTGTGTGTGTGAATGTAAGTCTCCCAAGAGCAGGTGTATATCAGCCTCTGCCTCTGCATGGATGAGTGAATTCTGACTTGTATGCAAAAGCACTTTGAGGTGTTGCACAGACTGGAAAAGAGCTACATAAATGCAGCCCATTTACCATCTAGCATGATTATAATGTATAAGATAAACTCTTACTGTCTCGTCTCCCAGCAGAGCAATTATTTCTAGAATATAATTAGAGTTAAATGTTGATTACTTGATTTTGTTGAGGTGCATATTTCTCTGGAGACGTTTGTGTGTTCCCAGGATTCAAAGCAGACACAGACAGGGTGGAGTAACAGGACACTCAGTCCGTCTTTAAGACTCATTGGCAGTGAATTAAAAAGACTGAGTTCCCCGTTGTTAATGCCAACTTCACTGGCTGCTAATGCATACACAGAAAGAACAGCTTTGACTATCAAACCCCAGCCGTTTTCTTAAACTTCACAGAAAATGGCTGCCTTCTCGTATGTCCTTTTGCCTGCACATTTTATGTTAAGACCTACATTCTAATTCTAACTGTGTAATGGGGATTTGCTCTTTCTTTTTTCCGCTACCCAGTGCCCAAGAACGCCGGTGGGAAACGACCAGATACTTCCCCGG